TTAAAATATATATATATATATATATATATATTATTCAACAAGTACGATGAATGACCAATCTGCCATTAGAATGTTTAACGAAGTAACAAACAAATCTAGTAGCATCATGGGTTGCGTGGTATATTAATTATCAACTATTATTAATATATTTTTTATGGAAGATTCTATTATTATTATCATTATAATTTAATCTGTGAAAACTAAAAAGATTATTACTTCTATTATTATAATTAAAATGTTAAATAGAGAGAGATTTTTATTATTATTATTATTATTATTATTTTTTTTTAGCATTCTGTTGTAGTGCAAGTGGCAGAGCATGCCAAGAGCGAGGTAATCGAGGTTAAAACATTGATAATTTGCAGGAATACATTAAAAAATCTTGTGTACATACTTGCTGCTGCATACTTATAATAAATTATTGCTACAATTAATTATTAGAAAACAACAAAAAGTGATTACATGATGAAACCCATGCGTGCGTTTATTTAAAACCATAATTATATTAATAATAACATTAACATACATATAATTCAACCTATCATGATACATGTACAAATAGAAAGGCCACATGAAGTTGGGAGGCAAGGAAAATTGTTTTTTTTTTTTTTTTTTCGATAGCGTCGAGAAGGTATTAGCCAACGGTGGCCTCAATCAAACAACCTCATTAATGTTGGCTCCATCCTCCACCGTAGTCCCTTAGTCGCCACAATAAGGCATCACCACCAGGTAGGGCTGAGCATGATACTTGCAGAATTTTGAACCGTTCCGAAAACTGAATCGAAATTGTTCGAAATTGAAAGGTAATCGTTGACTGTTTGACTTTCTCTGAACCGATTCGAACGAAAAAATAACTGGTACAGTTCTGGACATTTTACAAATATCCGTATTGAGAACATAATCGAACCGAACCATCTCATACCCTACCGCATTGAAAAACCGAATTATTACATTATATGTGTGTTGTTCATATATTTTATGGCAACTCTAAAATACTATATATTCTCACTACAAAAAAAAGACTATATTCCAATGGATAATCCTACGGTAATATATTCCTAACGGATATTTTAATGTTATAGTTTCTGTTTGAATGAGCTTTCTATTGGAATTTAGATGAAATTTGGTTATTCCAACCGCCATCATTCCAACGATTTTTACCGTACGAATTTTCGATGGAATATACAATTTCCGTTTGAAATTTTTATTTTCACCCATATTTCAACCGTTGAATTGTCTAATACCAACTAAAATTTCAATGGAAAAACTCACTTTAATGGAATATGTTTGTTGAAATTTTGGTTGGAATTCATTTGAAAATTCCAATGAAAATAATAAATTGACATATCCATTAGAATTGTCGTTGTTATTCTATTGAAATATATTTACGTTGAAAATTTCCAATGAAATTCCACTATATTCTATTAGTGTTTGAATATTTTGAAAATACTAAATAACTTATATACCAATTAAACTTTATGATTAATAATACTTGACCTACAATTAGATTTTTTTCTATTTTAAAAAATGTTTATATTATATATGTTGATTGTTTCTTAATTTATTCAATATTTTGAAAATACTAAATAACATATAATAATACCAATTAAACTTTATGATTAATAATATTTGACCTACAATTTTATTTTTTTCTATTTTAAAAAATGTTTATATTATATATGTTGGTTGTTTTTTAATTTATTCTATCTTATAAATAAAATGATAAGGAAGGTTAAAGAAATATATATATATATATATTAAAAAACTATATTGTCTGAATTTCTAATTTCCGTTATTAGTTGTACAAAGTTAGACTTAACTAAGTTTATAGGTTACTTCTAAAGTTGATTTCAAATTTATTTATAATCTTTATCATACTGAAGCATTGATGAACTGTATTTTTTATAAAGTATATCAAAATATAAATAAACTAGATAGGCATTCAAAAGAAAAAAGTTATATTTAATAATAATAATTCTGGAGATTCGAGTCGAATCAAGTATAAAAATAATAATCTTCGAACAAAACCAAGTCAAAAAATAATAATACAATATTAATACAACTTTAGGATAAAACTTTTACATATAAATAATTTATTTTTATTATTTTATTTATTGTAATAATGTAAATATAATAAATATAATTTTATACTTTATAAAATTAATTAATCGATTCAGCAATTGATCTGGTAACCTGACGGTTAGACCGGTAGTCTAGACTTCAGCCCGAGTCAATTACCGGTCAAGGTTTTAAAACTATGCTATATATATAATGCAAATTTTATTTTAAATACTAGAAATGTAGAAAATTAAAAATAAT